CCTAAGAAATGCTTTCCTAACTGCTTCAATACCTGTGTTATTATCAATGTTCGTGTACATGCTTTGTACGTCGATGGATATTAAAACGGTGTGTTCGGGGACTCTTAACTGTTTGATTTTCTGAATGAAATCGTTAGTGTCTTTAAGGTAGGATGGGTGTTGGCATGCTAGGGGTAATAAGAAATGGTCTATATATTGTGATACGTTGTATGATTCGCTGCCACAGTCTGATATTATTGGGCGTCCCTTGGGTATTTTATTAGGTATAAACCATTCTGTTTCTGGATTTTTATGTATTTTTGGTAGTGTATAGAGATGTCTTTGTCGGCAGTCAGATTTAGCAGATAGATAATCATATTGTTTTGCTGTTATGTATTCCTTATCCTGCAATTCATATAAGATGTTGTTTATTAAATTTGCGGTGTCCTTAAAGATGGGTTGGTCTAATTTTGTGTAATGTATAGGATTACTTAATTGTTTTTCTGCCTCTGAGATATAGTCTGCACGATTCATTATGACACAACACGAGCCTTTGTCGCTTTTCTTAATTATTATGTTTTTGTCCTTTTTAAGGGTGTTTAATGCCGTTTTAGTTGCTCGGTTGAGATTTGGTTTTTGTGACTGTGGTTGAATGGATGATATTTCTATATTCATTTCGTCGAAAGTTTTTAGGATGGCTGGTGATAATGACTTTTTAGGTGGTTTCCATGTGGATTTTACTGTGAATAATTTTTTACCTCTGCCGGGTTTGTTCCTAAAAAAATAAGTCAACGAAAGTGTTCTTTGGAAGCGATCGGTTGCCTGGGTGATGGGGTCTATGGATGTTATTGTGGGGGTTGGGATGAATTTAAGGCCTTTATCAAGAATGTTCATTTCTAGGGGGTTGAGAAGTCTGTCGCTCAAATTGACAACTGTCTGTCCTAAAGACGGCTTCTCATTCCTTTTCCCTAATCCTAGTTTAAATTCCTCATCCAGCAGTTGATGATCTCTCTGGCCGTGTCTGGGCTCCAGTGGATTGCGTCGTTACCTTTTAGTTTTATTTTGCCCTTGAAGGTTGGTAATGTGGTGGCGTTTGGTGAAGGTGCTGTAGAGATCAGTTGGTTGTAGCTGGTGATGTTTTGGTAGGCGATCGGATTTTCTTGTCGGAGTCGGGAAGAAGTGGGGATCTGTGTGGCGAAGAGCTTGGTTGTTGGGAAAGCTGCTCTGGTCACCTTGAGTAGATCTAGCATCTGCTCGTGTATCCTTGGTCCACTTTCCTCCCTGTTGTTGAGCCCGACATATATCACTAATTCCTCTGGTGCAGGACCCATGTAGTTCTGGAGTATCTGTCTGATGTGGCTGATCTTGGCTCTAGAGTAGCTATGGATCTCCCAGTCCCCGACGAAGAATGCAATCCTAGCCAGGTTAGAGGATCCAATAACCAGGGTCTTTGCCATGACGGGTGGTAGGAACCATAAATCCTTCTCGTCTTTACCTTTGTAGCTGTGAGGTCTCTTTAGGGATAGGTTGAGTGATCACCTACATCTGGTGGAAGATCTGGTGGCGATTCTAGGGGACAGACAGTCGACAAGCGCGTTTAGTGGCGATATAGATCCCGAGGAAGTAGGTGAGCCAGACACAGCCCGGGGCGAACTGGTTGATCTAGCTGCACGCTTCGAGGGAGTGTTAATGCAAGTGCCTTCTCCAGGGGATAATTTTCTCTTGTTGGGTGTGTATCGTTTTGGTGTGTCCCGGAGAAGGTTGTGCGTAATGTGCATGGGTGATGGGGGAGGGGGCGTGACAGTAGGCGGTAGAGACCGTGGACAGTAGGTGGTGGAACTCTGTCTTCACACTATCCTGAAGTCGCTTGCCGTAGGACTTCTTGGCCCATGCTAGGGCGTGGCTAGAGTACTCTTGTACAGCATCTTTGGAAAAGTGACGTGACTTCAAGTACTCCAGTTTCTCCGCTAGCATGGCTCGTTAGTGTGTCGACAGGGATGAGGCGACGTCCTTGGCCCATTTCAAGTTCAAGTGCTAGCCCAGTTTACATCTCGTGACCTATGACGAAAAATTGAACTGGCCTTATTATATAGCGTCAACCCGATTGAGCATCAGATGGGGACCATTATGTTGATACAAACGACTTGCTCTTCATCAGGTTGAATGGTTTGGCGGAATGTTAAAATTGAAAACAACATCGAACGTGATATGGTTTGCAAATACTATTTCAAATATAAGCTAAACAGCATTTGTGACTAGTCGTTGGGATGGTATAGAAAGACATTTATTTTAGAGCAGTAATAGTACTAATAGAATAATATACCAACAGATAACACTGATTGATTGGCTCAACTGTAAAAAAAGCAAATAAAATTCCCCAAATCTTCACTACTTGTCTTAAGAAAAAAAAAATGAACAAACAAAGAGCGAGGCGTTTATGTGTGGGTTTAATTGTCGAGTGCAAGACATTAAGTAATATGATATTGCACGAGTGCGATAGCACGAGTGTTTTATCCATATATTACGCAATGTCTTGCACAAGACCATTAAACAACTTAAAATACAGACACTATCCAGCACATGCATTTTAATGAAATATGTCACACAGGTCCAATTTTTCAACTAGTATAATTAATGTATGCTTGGCACATTGCCCGTACCATTATTTGAAATAATGGTATGCCAACATCAAAGGATGACGTCATCATATGAGCACGCAGTGGCAACACTACACGACTTCATAGTGATGGTTGCTAGGCAGAGTGGTAAAAATTCTAAATTTGTTCATATTAAATGTGTAAAGCGTCAATGAGGATGACGTTTTCGTCTAAATAATAGAAATAAGATGAACTAGAACTGCGATGCAGTAATGACGGGTTTCACCGGTGCCACGTTACCCTAAACATATGTCACTTCCGGTACCAATGAAACCATTAAACAGGTTTCCACCTCATCATTGCACACATCAAATAAAATGGACGCCGAATCAACCAAATCCAGCAATATCAATTCATTTTATATATTTGTTACATGTAAGTGTACAGTACTTCCGGTGATAATGAAAATATTATGTAAATCGAATAATAATTGCCACTTTTATAGACCAAAAACCTTAAAAAGTGACTTGTAGAAAACCGTCAATTCCTCTGCAACCATACAAGTTAGAAACCATTTTCTGGAATCTGTATGATCGTATGGGTTTATTCTATTTGTTGATTGGAATCAAATATCATAATTTTAAAAACATAACAACTCAGACTCATTTGAATAAAATATCTGTTTTGAAAGCTAAAAATACAGTTTTTGCCAAAATGACGTTACTTCCGGTGATAATGAAAATCTTAAATTACTTGTATGAAATCGTAAATGGCATTAGGTATCACATAGTGAAAATTTCATGAAAATCGAATAATAATTGACACTTTTATGGACAAAAAACCTTGAAAAGTGACCTGTTGAAAATTAGAAACCATTTTGTGATACCTATATGATCGTATGGGTTCATTCTAATAATAATTGACTCTTTTACAGACACAATAGCGTAAAGAGGACTCATGCAAAATTGACCATTTCTCGGCAACTGCTCATATTACAAACTAATTTTGAGATAGATTCTCTTCGTATGGATTAATGCTACAAGTTTATGAAAGTTGCGAAGAAATATTTTAAAATATGAAACCTTTTTTCACCTTTAAATCAAAATGACCCGAAAACGAAATCGAAATTAAAAAAACTGAGCCCGATGTTTTCTGCGCCTTTACAGGGCACACACTTTCAGTCATACCAGATTTGAAAAAAATAATATTTGCTTTCAAAAAGTGGTACCGAACTGTCAAAATTGTAGTTTTTGCTAAATTTACGTCACTTCCGTTGCCGAAAGGTAACTTTACCGGTAACAAAAAAAATGACATTTTGGATTACGGAGCATATGAACTTTGTTTTATACAAATCGAGCAATAAATAATTAATCCAGGACTGAAAAACTGAATTAGCCAATGGGGGTCAAGGAAATTTACGATGACAAAAAATGGTGCCATTTTTGGTCAAATCAGATGACTCTTTAACCCTGGGTAAAATAGCACATTAAAATATTCATGAATAAAAAAGTTTTTTGTAAAAATTTAAATTTTCAAAATTTGGCGCCTAATATCTCCGACGATTCGTGGAAAATCAAAAATCTAAAGAACCGTGGCTATGTGCCTTGTCTCTGGCTATGTCAAAATGTATCCAATGTTAAAATCCGACGATTATTGTTAATATTACGGCAATATTTCAAAAATCGACAAATTCGACGATTTCGGACATTTCGCATTGTCGCAGAACGTTCGAAATAGCTTTAATCTCTAAGTCACACCCACTTTTCCAGTAAAACCGAAGACATCGAATCAATCCGACAAGTAGTTTCTGAGATACAATCAAATTGGAAAAAAAAAAATAATAATAAGAAGAATAATAATAAGAATAATTTTAACAAAAACAATAGTGTTTCACACAAGCTACGCAGTGTGAAACCCTAAATAGAATTAAAATTTACACAGAACAAATAAAGAAATTGGATTATACAATGTCTTAATTTAAAAAGTACACGAGCAGGAGCAGAAGTTAGAAATTACCGGTACATGAATAGACGTTAGAAATTACATGAATAGAAGTTAGAAATTACATGAATAGAAGTTAGAAATTTGAATCTAATGTTAGTAATAAAAATGTGTATGTTTTAGAAGGTATTTTCAACTTTCCTTCTAAGTAGATAGTCTACATGCCTTGATGGTTAAGCATGTAAGACATCGAGTATTACAAGCTAATTAAAAACTTTTAGAACTATTCATTTTTTTCCCAATTTATTTTCAGATAGATCTGGGTGGTGATATCTCATTAATTTGTCTATGGTGGTGATCTGGGTGGTGATATCTCATTAATTTGTCTATGGTGGTTTCAGGTTGCCACATCTTTTAATCAAACACATCATTTGTTATTACTTTTTATTAGTTGAAATAAATTTGAACATAATCTTCTTTCAGGTACGGAAATGGAAAGATGATGGCAGCGTTGTTCAGATGTGTACAGCCCGACCAGGCTGGTCAAATATCAGTTTTAGAAGTGGTTTGTATAAGAAAAATCTACGAAATATTGAGGTCAACCTTTTTGACATACTGTCTGTTGATACAAAAGATGAAGTCCTCCATGTGGAACCTCTTGCTACCATGGGACAGATAACAGCATTTTTAAATCCCCTTGGGTGGACATTACCAGTATTACCAGAACTAGATGACCTGACTGTTGGTAAGTTCTCCATATATTATCTCGCACTTGATACGATAATAAACAAAACTTCAAATACCGATAACTTCGCACAGATTAGAGTAATTTGACTGAAATTTTCAATATATTCATTTTCCATTATCTGCTTTTGAACTATTATAGCAACAACGTCTGGCTCTTTATCTAATTCTTATATAATGCATCTTTAAGGTATTTTGAAGAATTATTTTCAGTTGCTGAAGTCATTCAGTAGCCTATATTTAAACAGAAAATGGGATACATGTAGTGTCATTTTTGTTTTGAGAACTCAAAAATACATGTAAAATTAACCATTGAAAGTTTCATGGTGTACAATGTAGTTGATCAATGTGGCAAGCATCCAATCAAGTTATTGCAAAAATAACCAAGAAGTCACAGGCTTAGTGTCTCTCTCCTTTCTATGTTTAGTTCTCAGTATAATGTAACTAGTTGCTGCAGGGAAGTCTTTCATGTGTTTTCTTCAATATAATAGGCCTAGAATACTTCACATTGTGTACATTGTTTGCCTGGGCATAGTCGTTAAAGTAATCTCTTTCTGCGGTTGTTTATATAATAACTCTGTGATGGCTGCCAACTACAGATTTCATCTTAGATTTTAGGTGGTACCTGTTTGGAACTTACTAACATTTTATTGTTCAAATGAAACAAATTACATGTAGCTACAGATCCGATTGTTTGAAAGGTTACATTCTATCAATTAGTAATGTCTCAGCTTTACAATGTATGTAATATCTCATGATAAAATTCAACTGATAAATTCCTGTTGAAAATTACCGGTACATGGTTTTTATTTGCCCAGATTGAAATATGTTTGTACATATATATATGATTTGGGCAATAGGCAGACCGTATTATATTTTGTGCATTAGGTAGACATTTCTGAAAATCCATACTTATTACTTTTTGGAGGTGAAAATTTAAAAAATGACACATTTGGGTCTGTCTTATTGATATCCGAAATTTGAAAAAAAAAATCCTCAAAAATAAAAAATATACATTTTTGGTGGTCTGCCTAATATTTGTTAATATATAAAAGTCATTAGGCAGACCAGTGCATATACATGTATACTCTTCAAAAAAAGTATGGGATATTCAGAAACAATACAAAACTGCGGAAATGCACTGCTGTTTTTATTAGAGGTAACCAGTGTATGTTAATAACAGGCCAATTGCCTACAAATGAACTAATATCCAATATTTAAGACTTAATGAACATATTAAAATCAGTACACGGCATCAGGACATAATGGTTTGGGGGACATGTGTAATGATCAAAGAAAACTTACCCAGAAGACAATTGTACGAAAGTACATGTTTAAAAAGGGCCGATTCACAAACGACAAACTGATTATAATAAAATCGTGTAGAATGGACTAACAAGGAACTAACGTTTGGACTGTTCACGTATTTACCAAACATAATTGATTAAAAATTATAATAAAATTTCAAACATTGAATAGAAATCACTTTATATACAGTAAAATGTGCTTTTAGACCCACCTTCGTCTATGCTAAAGTTCCCAAGAATAGAGCTATATGCCCTCAAATCTAATATCATTTTCAAGTTGGTATAGAGGTGGTAGAAACAAGAAAAGAGTGAGCTTGGTGTCCAACCGACACGTTAATTAAGTTAATCAAGGTTTGGGTGTAGTGAAACTATACACACAAATTTCACCAATCTGGCTCAATTAGAATTGATTTTATTGTGTACCAAATCATCGACTCATAAAATTCTTTATCTATGTTTAGCCTAAGCATCAAGGTATTCGACTGATAAACACCTACAGCAACTTTAAACATTATAGTCCAATTTATGAATGATTTAACTTGAAATTGAAACTGATCAATAAAGAAACACAACTAACGAGAGATGTATCACCAATGTGTTCGGGGCTATTCTTCGTTTGAATAAGCACCCGGGTGATACACATGTATGGATGAGCTAGGATTGGGGGTGTATATAGCTCATTAGTGGAGAAGTATTCTGGTGAAGGTGGTCACTGTGCATTAAAAGTCCAAGTTGAAATCTGTTTCAATATTCCTTTATATACAGTTAAATATACATTACATACAAGATTATATCAAAGGGGTAATAAATGTCTTAATCCTTTCTCTCATCTCATCTGATCTCCTGTGATCCTTTGTCTGTGTAGGGGTCTTTTAAAGAAACTAATTTGCATAGACAAAAGGACAAATCAGATTAAAGATAAAATTAGGGATGAAAATATATTGTAACGAATGAAATGAAAGAAGTTAAATTAATATATAAATTTCATTGGGTAAAGTTTCACAGTGAAATATAATTAATAGAATCAGTTAATAAGCTTTAAGCCATAAACAAAGTAAAAGCGTTGACACTTGATTGGCACCGATCTGACTGTATTGTTAATTCTATAACCTTTGCTCAAGATGTCTCTTAATAAGTCTATTGGCACCAAAGATAACAGTAGAGACAAGACCATTCTTGCTTTAAGAGCTTTAAATCAAAATATTAACATATTAAATCAATGATGATATTAAAGTCAGCCATATTGTCTGTACACTGTATATATGAATATAGAATTAAGACATAAATTATGCATTCTTTAAATAAAATTTGAAAAAGAAATTAAAATTAATATCACTATTCGGTGATAAATGCTCCCGGCCTGTAAAATTCATTAGCCCTCGCATGATAATACTATAAAATTGATGAAAATATTATTAATAATTACACATAAGATAAACATATGCTTATAATTAAATACTTGTATAAATTTGGTATCTTTTGTATATACTGTAAAGTAAAAATGGTCTGTCACAATATCTTATCTGAGTGATTATATGTTAGTTATATGATTATATTATACAGGCTAAAGTCACTTAGGCAATCCTTTGTTGTTGCCTGATGTATAATACTTTCTTGTCACATGCATAAAATATCACTTGCAATAATTATGAAATAAGAGTTTACAAGGAATATAAAATTCCAATTCAACAGATTATCAGTCAGTAACGAGACTGAATGAAGAAAAATGAAATTTAAAAAGCCATTGGTAATTCAGAGTCACATTGTAAAGTATCAACACTATGATAAGGAAAGTTTCAATATGTTCACTTTTTAAAGTCTGCAACACCGGAATATTTATTATTTATGGAAACCCTTTAACATGTTAGTTTTAGCAGTAGAATATACACACACAATAGATACATTTGTACATGTATTAACATAGTCATATAAATATAATGTCTGCTGTAACAGATATGATTCCATCACATTTATATTCACAATTTTTTTTTTCAGGATCACACACACAAATTTAAACAGGAACACACTCATAATGTTTAATAATTCTGGAACATTTAATGTTGACTGGATCAGGGTTGATGATACTCTTATAAAGTCCACCACATTCATCTTATTGATCTAGCACATTTTTTTGTCTGGATACCTTGAAGTCTATCTGGTGATGAACCATGTGCTGTTACTTGTTCTCACTTCTTTTGACAAAGTCAACCTTGTCCAGAATAGAAGATATCAGCTTCATGCTTCTTTGGTCCAGTCCGTTATCAGAGATGTTGCTCAGCAAGATTAAACCTGAAATATCTCTTGACAATCTGTGATCCCCTTGTCTGTGCAGGGGTCTTTTAAAGGCTCAATGCCACTCTTGTTGTAACTGAATAATATGTCCCAATCTTTATTCTGGTCAACAAATTGTACTATTTTACAATATTCCAATTAATTGAAGATACAAATTTCATCTTAACACACCTAATTTAAAAAATTGGAAAAATTCAACTAAATGATTTGAAAAGCCTGATGTGACTTAGATTTAAAAATATTTTTGAACCCTCTGGACAAGTAAAATAGGATTTAATGGATAATTTACTCAACATGTAAGACACTAACACATCTAGTACTCAGAATAAGGCTATTTTTTCTTTTCTGGAGCTGTCAAGCCAGCAAGAGTGTTATTGTCCCTTTAAAGAAACCAATTTGCATACAGACAAAATGACAATCATTTCAACAAATCAGATAAAAATAGGGATAAAAGTATGTCGTAAAGAATCAAATGAAAGAGGTTTAATTAATATATTATAAATTTCATTGGGTAAAGTTTCATAGTGAAATATAATTAATAAAATCAGTTAATAAGCTTTAAGCCATAAATAAAGTAAAGGCGTTGTGATACTAATTTTGACTGGCACTGATCTAACTGTATTGTCAATTCTATAACCTTTGCGCGAGATGCCTCTTAATAATCCTATTGGCACCAAAGATTATGACAGTAGATTCAAGACCATTCTTGCGTAAGAAAATCAATTTAAGAGCTATCAATCAAAATATTAACATTAAATCAATGACAGACAGGCTGATAATATTAAAGTCGCCATATTGTCTGTATATATCAATATAGAATTAAGAAATAAGTTATGCATTCTTTAAATAAAATTTGAAAAAGAAATTAAAATTAATATCCCTATTCAGTGATAGATGTAGAAAGTAAATTTTCATATTAAAATAGTAATATGGCTGAATCCGCTGTTTGTGTATTAATTCAATCTTGTCTATGTAATGTGCATGTATCTGTTGAATGATGACCTTCGTACTGTTTTTTTTCCAAATCAAGTGGTTATGTCAATAATACCACAGACAGATCAATACTTTTGATTATGATAAACATGCTTGCCCTTTCAAGCTACCTACATCAAAGAAGTACTGTAGTGTGAGAACAAGCTCATTCACACAGTATTTATATTGTAATCTCATATTCTTAGAGAGAAAATTCACACCTTATTTAGTATAATTATATTTAATATGAATGACTTTTTGTTAATGTTATATACATGTACCGAGGTTAAGAATAGTATACCGGTAACATAATATTTTCTTTGTATCACATTTAATAGATATAATTTAACAAGAGGGCAAAAAAACCCACAAAAAAACGAACAAAAATAACAGTGGCATTTGTGGTTATTTCTTTTTATAAAGATTAGGTTAACACCCCAGTTCTCATGCAATGGCCTTTAAATTAAAGGTGGGGTTTTATTTTAAGGCAATGTTTATTTTGTGGAATAATGTGTTGGTAGGTGAAGTGATTGTTGACTATAATGTTATGATTATAAATATATTACTTCCTTACCGCCAAACACTTTATTTTTAATGAAAGACTATACTATAATGGTTATAAAATGCTGTATTCATTCATTGATTCATTCATATTTTATCTTTCTTCCTTTTAATATCTTAATCCATATAGATGTTAGACTTCTAATCTCATATACTAATAATTCCTTTGATTTGATTTGACATCCGCATGTAGATCATGCAGTCTGCTTTCTAGGTCTTGTACCTTTTTCAGGACAGTCACTCTGCAATATGATATTTGATGTTTTCTGTTATTAAATAGTTTCATGGATAATTCCAGCCTGTATTAATTACTGAAGATTCTCACTTCTATCAGATCACTAATTAATTGTAGAAGTACAGAGTATTTTCTTGATTTATTTTCTTCATTAGCCCGGTTGTTGCAGAACAGTAGGAAGTTAAACCTCATTTCATTCTTTTGTACTGATATGAAATTCTATTCAGGGTTATACATTCAGGGTTATATACATTATATTATATTCATATAATGTATATAACCCTGAACTCCAAAAATGACAAATAACAACACTCTTAACTTTAAACTTCTTGACTGTGGTGAATTTAGAGGAAGTTGTTGATATTCTAACTTTCAAACACGCCCTGAAATAAAATGTTTGTATTGTACGTGTGTTTATAAACACCGCAAGAAGGAAGAAAAGCAGATTATTCTTGCAAACTCCTTATCAGAAATTTCAGGGGTTTTTTCATATATCAAAATAACATGACTAAAGTACAACTAAAGCTTAGTTCCTGCTTGTAATCCATCTTTAACTTTGGATGAATTTTCCTGAGAAATGAAGGTTCTTCATACCAGAAAAAAGCTGCAACTTCAAAAGCACAAAGCTGTTTCATTCAGCTTTTAGTTGCAGTATATTTGTATATGAGCTAAACAGAAATTTAACGACCAGTTAACAAATTGAAAGTCAATACTAACTCTTGTCTTCACAAACTAGTTGAAAATACTGCAACAATTACTACATTGTGAGAAAATTTACGGATTATGAACAAACTTATTAACACCGTGTCAGCTGAGAAGAAATGTCAGATTATTTTTGAAGGAGGTTAAGCAAAATCTAATTTTTGTTTCGAAAGATTAAGTGGAAGTAGGGTTTATTAATTGTATTTCAAATTTTGGCTTATAAGTACTCAATAGAAAAAAGAAAAATAATTGATTTGAAATTTAGTGCAATGAGAATTTGACATTGTATACAGCCTTATTATATCTTTAAAAAAATCGTGACATTTTTCCAGACATGGCCAATGCCTTATACATAATCTCTGCAAAAATAAGTGATTAACTGGCAGTCCTTGATCATCAACATATCTTTGTTTGTTTGTGTACACTTTGTATTGTATGTTACATATCATACATATTTTAATTATGATCATGATTATAAGTCTTGTGTAATCATAAATACAATATCTAGTATAAAACAATCATCTAATGTTTATCGGATGTTCCTGTGGTTACTTTTGTCCTACGATAAACATGGGATCAATAGTAGTAGTAGTACCTTGTTTCTTTAACGTCTGCTTCCACAAAAGTGATATCGCAGACAAGACATATGAGAGCTGAGGCTTCTCCTTGTATTTTTAGAATATCATTTTGTAATCTTTCCATTTGCGGCCTTTGCCATGTATTGGTTTAGTGGAAAGATTTTCACTTTATTTAATAAAGTACATATCTTTTGGGATCAATCATTTTACGGTCTTAATTAAGGCTTGTATGTGACAATGAGTATGGTCGTCTGCCCAGCCATGTGGGTTTTCTCCGGGTCCTCCGGTTTCCTCCCACTGCTAAAGACCCACATGGGCTACATTTATTATCTGATCTTTTTAAAATGTATGTGTTGTTTACATTAGTGAGATGAAAAAGCCAATTTAATTTCAACAATTTCCGTTAATTTGTTCTAGAGTTATGGTCCTTGTTTCACTTTATAGAACCTTGTGAACACTCTAACGACTAAAGTTGTCATCCGATCTGTATTAAATTTATATGCATTATTTAAATTACTAAAACAAAGAAGGCTATTGAATTTCAACAATTTCCATTTATAAATTCTAGAGTTATGGCCTGTGTTTCATTTTGCTAAACCTTGTAAATGCTCTAACAACTAAAGTTATCCGATTGGTATTAAATTTATATGCATTATTTAAATTATTAAAACAGAGAAACCTATTTCAGCAATTTCCATTAATCACTTTGTTGATCCCCTTGTGAAGGCTCTAACGACAAAAGTTATCATTCGATCTGTATTAAATTCATATGCATTGTTTAGATGTTTGGATTAGTAAAACGAAGAAGCCTGTAGGATTTCAACATTTTCCGTGTATAACTTCTGAACCTATGCCCCTTGTTGAACTTTGTTGAACCTTGTGAACACTCTGACGACAAAAGTTATCATCTGATCTGTATGGAATTGATATCAGTGTCTTGTAAATGCACCTATTACAAGAGAATAAATATACGACAACCCTTGTCAACTGACCGGACGATTTCGATGCCGTGGGCGTATGTTTTGTTGCCTTGCAACCTATCTTGTTTTGATTTGTTTGAAATTAATAGTTGAAAATGAAAATAGAAGGCCTCCCGCCAAGAAATGATTTGCTCTGGGCTCCTTCTGTGTTATATTCAGCCCTGAATAAATTTGATAGTAAATAAATAAATGTAAAGTTATAAGATATGTAACAACATAATATAGTGTGTTGAAAGGGCTAATATACATGTATACAGATTTCTTTTAAATTATTTTGAAATGAAAAAAGAGGCGGCTTTGTCTGGAAAATGCATGTAAGTCAGGTTTTAGTCTATTGTGACAAAGTCTACATTCTCTGAATGGTCGCTACTGTACAACAGATATTATATTCTTATTTTGATACTGATGTTGAATTTTGTTGTCATACTTTGGGTAATTGAGTTTTCCAGCCAATAATAAGATATTCCGTTTTTCCATTGTTTTATTTAAGAAATTTTTTTAACATCAAGCATCTAATATCTGCATTACTATTTTCAAGATTATATTTACTGTAGAGTGTAATTGTAATCTCCATCTGATCCTGGTATAAATGAACAGTATAACTGCTGGGAGGTCTCTAAATAACAATTTGTGTTACCACAAAATGTCATAGAACCAATGGGCAACATCTCATGTTGAATTCATAGATCACCCAATATTACATTACTTTATTTACAAAACAAGTACATACAAAATCAGGCACAAATTATTTAAATTCAACAAAACAATAACTTCTGTTGATTTCATAGTGTAAGGCTGGGATTCTAACACTCAAGCAGTATTGAATCCTAATGGGGTATATATTTTGATTTTTCAGGTGGGCTTATAATGGGAGTTGGTATAGAGACATCATCACACAAGAAAGGTTTATTTCAACATTGTTGTATAGAATTTGAATTGGTACTAGCTGATGGTAGTGTTGTAACTTGCAGTAAGGTAAAATATTTTCTATCAAATGTTATGAATATAAATTTTACTGTTATGAATATGAATTTTACTGAACTGATTGATTGATTTTATTGTAACTTTTGATTTAGCATTTTTTGATAGAAGTGGACAATATCAATATAAGATATTAATGATCCGATCCTATTATAAAAATTGAATTTCGAAGAAATTTTAGTTGAAACTGATTAAAGCCGACCCAATTCATTACATCTGTACAATAGTTCAATGATGAGAAATTAGCAATAATGATATAAAATTTCTAAGATTAAATAATAAATTTTTTTGAATCCGGAATAGCGAAACAAGTTCTGTCTCATTATTCTTTATTCAAAAATGAATCCGGAATAACAAAACACGTCCAGTTTCAATATTCTTTTTTTGAACTCGAAAAGCAATATTGATTTATTTGCATAGCTGCCATGTTGCATATGTTAATCAAATTTTATAAATATGGTGATTAACTCATAAGGAAACAGAATGGGAAAATGAAATTTATTTAAGTTATGGATATGTTTAATTCATTGATTTATTTGTATGGCTGCTATGTTGCATGTCATAATCAAATTTTATAAATATGTTGGATTATATTACCACGAAAAATAAAATTTCACGGAAAAAGGTATGAAGAGTTATATTACCTTCTCAATTCACAATTATCAGATGAACTGGACAATAATTGTGCAGTTTTTACATAATGTCACAATGCATGGTCAATTCCTGGCCCATATAGTATGCTCTTCTTGGGTAAGCCATCTTCTAATATCAGCAGCTCTCGTTCTATTATGTCATTCATTGATTTCTAGCTGTTTACTGAGTGTTGCCAGGGTAAGGCCCAGTGACGGTTCCTTATAGGAGTTTTGTGAAAGAGGAAGTCGTAGTATAACTCCGAAACAGGTATGTCCCCCCCACCACCCCCGGCTCGAAGCAATGAGTGATACGCCTGGATGATCAAAAATGATCAAAGCATTCGCATCACATTTCCACTCAATGTTAGACAGTAGTAGCTTGAGTGGAGAAGGGGCACTTTTTAAGGGGCAGCTCCTTTTAAATGGGGGAGGGGGTGGAAGGCTGAATGGTTAGCCTGCGCGCGCTGTATCATAAAGTCTGTCATTGTGTCGACTGGCGTGGTTTCGAATCCCCGGTTGTACGTGACAAGGAGTAGGGTCGCCTGTCCGACCCCGTGGGTTTTCTCCGGGTCCTCCGGTTTCCTTCCACTGCTAAAGACCCCTATGCGCAAGCGAATTATTGAAATAAAATTAAACCATATGTTAGTCCCGAAATGACCTAGTTTGTGTCGAGTGGACGTTACACCCCATTTCTCTCTCTCTCCCTTTTAAATGGATTGTTTTATGACATAGAAGTGAAAGAGGCTGAGGCATCTTCATTTAATGCTATGAAAGTTCTAAGAAAAATAATAACTTTATTTCAATCCCGATTCACAAAACGCATTCTGTCTGCTTATTCGTTATTCAAAATTTAAATCCTGATTAACAAAACACTCTGGCTCCTTATTTTTTATTCAAGCCCGAAAATTAAAATGGATTTTTTTCTGACATAGAAGTGAAAAGGTTTTTTTTTTTTTTACTGCTGAGGCAACCTTATAAGTCAATTGAATAAATAAAAAACAGTTTACTTGACAACTGAACAATAATGATATGCACTTTCTAAGGAAAAAGAATTATTTTATTTGAATAACGGAACCCGTTCTATCTCGTTATTCAAACTATGAATCCTGAATAACGAAACACATCCTGTCTCTTTATTCTTTATTCAAGCTCGAAAAGCAAAATGGACTGTTTTATGATACAGACGTAAAAAGATGGTGGCTTTCTACCAAAGCATCCTTCTTATCAGTCAATTAGTAGCCACGATGTCCCAATAAGTAAGACGTTGGCTTGCTAACCAGGAGATCCCCTTTAGACTGAGAAAGTTCATTGCGATTTTCCGGCATGGTTCCCCCTTGTCAGTGGTGAAAGGGACAGCTGTAAAATAGTCGTACATTCGTACTTTATATTTAAGACAACTCAATGTCGATCAAACCATTGTCCAGGCAATCTAGTTAATGTATAAATTAGTGGATAAGTAGATAAGCCTCTGGCTTACCTATTGTTTTAGACCTCTAAACTCTTAAACTTTTAATGACCCTTTTTGTCCTCTGGCACGCCTTTTGATCTCGGTCACAATATTTTTAATGACCACCTGATGTCCTCTGGGCATCGAGATAAGCAAATTTACCTGGTACCTATATAAGGTCAGAAGTCGAATAGGTTTGAGAGTACCGAGCTGCGGACCAAGGTATTCACTACAGCAGGCAACCAGTTGCAAATACCAGAGACAGACGAGTAAGAGGACTTACGGCCACACACACAACGTGAAGCACTATTACTATAGAATACATTATTACTGTAAAGGACGCTATTAAAGACATATCCTATGTTATAAAGAACCTGGTTTATTATTCTTACACCCTCTCCCGTACTACACAGCATATAATCCTTCGAATGGGACAAAAAAACAAACAAGGTCCTGTGTACGTAAAAGAAACTGTGACAGTGGGAATTCAAAATAACAGTAGGCCATAGTGCCTTCATTAGCCCAGTACGTTCAAAACAGCATCCTTCTTATAAGTCAATTAAATGAAAAGCACATTTTACTTGAGAAATGGACAATGATGATATAAAATTTATAAGCAAATATAATAATTTTGTTTCAGTCCCGAGTACCGAAACAAGTTCTGTCTGTTTAGTTATTCGTTATTGGCAAATGATGATGTAACTTCACACTGCCGCAAAGTTATGGGTGTTGTTTATAGTATTGGACAAGCGAGACTTAGTCTTGACTATCCATTTTATCGTTAAATTTTTAAACTAGTGGACATTTTAATCCATTTAAATCTCTGCCATCCGATGTTCTAGATAGTTAATTATGGCCTTGTTAATAAATGTCTAGATAATAGTTTGTGTAACATTTGAAGCCAAAATATAGATCTGAAATTGGCTACTTTAGCTCTTACATAATGCATCTTTGAATTAAAAGAAAAAATAGTAAGATGACAGACCATATCTACCCAAAGAATCTATTTGTATTACATCCTCTTTATTGCTGTTGATGGACATGTTCTGAAAATTTGAATGTTCTCCTTCTGGAGTTTCTTGTGAATTTACAGTAATTTAAAAATACTTAATTAAAAAATCGGGTGTAATGGTTTGAGGAGGCCTCTAGATTGGCATAGTTTTAATGAAATGTTGGTAATATTCTTGATTACTCTAGATGTTGACTTTCTTTTAAAGGAAAACAAAGTGGCTGTAATGATCACAGCTTTTCTATAGACTGCCTTTCTTTATAGTGGGGTAAATATGTCGTATCGCCTAGGGACACTAGGGATATACTACTATTACTAGCCATGATATCTCAAACATGTTCATATAAAGATACATGGTATTAAGGCCTAGATTATGATTTTCACAAACAAGTTTTTAGCAGTTATTGAGGGACCATTATAACAAACAGAATGGTTTGGGAGGGGTGGAGGTGGGGGTGGTGGTGGTGATAGAATTTGATATAGATATTTTGGTAGTAACACTGTTCAGGACAAATATTGGTTTATTTAGCTCAACAATTATTTTGTATTTTTTGTTTTGTTTTGTTGAAAACTTCATGCATATTTGTTTATCTATGATGTTTACGTCATTTATATTATTTAAATAGTACGGTAACTTTTGGGATGGGGAACTCAAATTATAATGTGTACTTCTGTCTTTTCTCTCCATCCACAATGCTTATTCTCGTATGGCTATATATGATTGTTCCATTCCTCATGCAGTGTAAAACCCTAATATTGATGGTCTCCTTCAGTAGGTTGGATTCACCTTATTTATATAGTTTATATCTGACCTTGTATGCTGTGTTTATGAAATATGGGACTTGAATTCGATATCAGTCTATATATTCTATGACATTCAAATATTCCATTAATAGACATGGTTGAGTTTTATCTTATTTTAATAAAATTTATGGCTGACTGAGTTAATTCAGTTAATATTGACATACCTGGGTGGTTGATTATACACTGATAATATACGTCTGGGCACAAGACAGAATTGAAAATATCTTTATTGCTATTACTTGATGGTTTACTGAAAAGATCCAATACATCTTAATTCAATTTGCTCAGCATGTTCTTATTGATTAAAACCTAATATATTATGCAAGAGCTAAATCTGTCTATTGCAGGTCTTTCTTTAGGCCAGAAATGTTATCTAAGTTATTAATTAGACATTAATTATTCTATCCAGATCATAATCAACTCCGTTGGCATCGCTAGCCTGCGACCTTTAGTGGATTATGAGCCGATTTACTGCATAACTTTCCTTTACGATTTAATGATTAAATGGATAATCGAGACTATGCTGTTTATTGTACTGACTTTAGTAGTGATGATTGAGGCTAGACTGAAATTTCAATCGCTTAATACTCGGTTCATAGTGGATCAATTTGAATGAAATTTTCAGCAAATTGCCTATACATTATCTAGTTTTTAACTATTATAGTGAAAACTGGCAACTCGTTATCTAATCTCCCATAATGTATTTTTAAAGCTGAACTCTGATTACAAAACTATGGAAATAATTAAATAAAGAAAAGGATAACACCCCAAAAAGTCGCCATACTTGTTTTGAATTTGTATAACAGGTATAAGCATATAGTAAGGCACAGTGTGCTATATTCCAACTACCAAACGCCTGACTGGTTGTGGGCAGGTTTTGTTGGCTGACAACCTATCTTTGATTGAGGTAGAAGTAGAATGTTCAGACTTGTTGTAGATGTTGATTAGGTTAATGTCTTGACCTATCAGTAATTAACATTTTCCACTAAGGCTAAACAGAGATACATCAGCATTTAAGCAATCTCATAATTGGAAATGCTTTGGGACACAATAACTTTCATTCTAATTGAGGTTGGTGATGATAATTTGTATATAGTTTCACTACATCAAAACCATGACTAAGTTCGATCATGAGCATTTTATGTTCAAGCTAATTATAGATAAACAGTTTGATTGCTTTACAAGAAGATAAATGTCTTTTTTCTTAATGTGTTGTCTATTTATTTGGGGATTGAGGTGGGGGACATCAGCATCATGGTTGACTTGTTCTGCTTTAAGCATTATTTCACAGGAAGAGGCATAACCTACATGACATTACCTAAATCAGAATAAACAAAGTTCATATTCATACAGGATGTTAAGATCTAAAATTGATATTTTTCTCTTTTGTTTTTAGAATGAAAACACTGATTTATTCTACTCTGTTCCATGGTCGTATGGAACACTGGGATTTTTGGTGTCTGCCAAAATGAAAATTGTACCAGCCAAAAAGTATGTAAAGGTGGAATACATGCCAGTTCATACTACTAACAGTATGGTGGAGAAATTTGAGGAGGAATGTAAGAAACCTACAGGCAACCAGTTTGTTGAATGTCTTGTGTATTCACAATCTGAAGGTGTCATAATGACTGCTAACATGACAGACGAAGTAGAAGATGACAAGGTTAGTAGAGTTACTTGACTTTGTTGACGACAAGGTTAGTAGAGTTATTTGATTTTGTTATTGTCAAAATTAAGCATGATTATATTAATTAAGCTAACAAAATCTCATTATTTCTGAAATTTGATCTCCACGCTATTAATAAAAAATCTCTTTGAAGTGTTGAGCAGTAATACTACCTACAACAACCCCCTGTGTAGTTTTCACAATTATGATAATAATGTGAACATTTGTATTGCGCCATTCCACTGTGTCTGTATGCTCATAGTGCATGAAAAAAGTTCCGTTGGTATTGATATGAATTCTTTTTACGCCATATCATTGTTTATGAATGTGTGATTATATTTCAGATAATTTAACACTTCATTTAATGTCTACTGGGTGTATGTAATTATGAATGTGATAAGTACACCTCATGTCATATCATTGTTTATGACAGTGGGGTTGTATTTTTGATAATTACATTCCTTAAACACCCAGGAGTCTGTGTTATTTAAGGGAAGATTGAAAATTGAAACTTTTTCCATCAATTTCAATGCTCAATAGATCAATGTCATTGTTGTAACATGGCCCAAATAGCTGATTTCGAAATTGCATGTCGCTGTCAGTTTTACATCAGTGAAGCTCATATAGTGATCCTAACTGTAAGATTATGTTAAATGTAATTGCTAAAATTAAAATTTGAAGATGTAGTGATAAATATCTATTTTGAACATATCATGGATAACGATTGTGCATGTGCACTGGTTTAAAAAATCAAATGTTTACCAGACATTTTCAGAGGGTATAATAAAACGACTTTTTATTGCGACATCATTATAGTATAATTGATTTCTTAAATTGTTTTTAACAAGAGACAAAGGTTTAACAGATTAATGGTGATTTTCATTGTGTCTCTGTTTTTTATTTTCCACATAAGTGTATAACGATATGAGATCCAATGTATAAATAATATTATGAATCTAATTATGATATTAGTACACATTGACATTATGTTATTTCAGATTAACTGTATTGGAAGATATTACAAGCCTTGGTTCTTTAAACATGTTGAAGAATTTTTGAAAAAAGGTCCTGCTGTAGAATATATACCATTACGACATTATTATCATAGACACACTCGCAGTATTTTCTGGGAACTACAGGTAGAGCTATAAATAACTGATTGACTTTAAGTTATATATGTTTTGATTATCTTCTCTGTTAAAAGGAGGCAATGATAATAATGCTTAATAATATTGCAGCTTGAAATGTTTAAAAAAAAATACAAAACCAACAAAATCTTTAATAAAATGAAATGGTGTTTAATGTCCTGCTGCTCTTACAATAGAATATGAAAAACTCATTGAAAACGAGTCGTATATATGCTCATTTTTATGCGCCCACATTTTCATGTGGACGTATATTGTCATCGCCCCCATCCGTCCGCCCACAATTGTTTGTGAACACTCTACAGGTCACAATTTTTTTCCGATTTCAATGAAACTTGAAATATAGGTTTATCACCCTAAGATCTAGGTTCCTTTCGATATTAGCATGTATCGGACTGTAACTTCATGGATTATGGCCCCTGATTGTATGAAAAATCATGTTTTTAGCTTGTGAACATTGTAAAGGTCACAATTTTTATCTGATTTGCTTTAAACTTGAAATGTATGTTTATAACTCAAAGATCTCGGTTCCTTTCGATATTCGCGCATATCGGACCATAAGTTCCTGGATTGTGGTCCCTGATTGTACGAAAAATCACGTTTTTAGCTTGTGGACCCTAAAGAGGTCACAATTTTTGTCCGATTTAAAAAACCATGTGAATATATCACCGTTACACCCTAAGGACCAAAACTGACGGACAAAATGGCCACCCCTCGTTCGCAAATAGTGTCAAAATATTGTGTATCAGGGTTGTGGACCCTCAGGAGGTCACAATTTTCATCTGATTTTGATGAAACTTGAAATGCATGTTTATAACCCAAATATTTTGGTTCCTTTCAATTTTCGTACATACCGAATCGTAACTTCCTGAATTATGGCCCCTGATTGTATGAAAAATCGCGTTTTTAGCTTGTGCTTCCTCTAGAGGTCACAATTATTATCTGATTTAAAAAACGTTAGAATATATCGCCAGTACACCGTAATTTTGTCTGAGTTTGAATTTCATGAAAATCGGACCAAAACTGACGGACAAAATGGCTGCCCCTCGTACTCAAATATATCAAAGTTGTGGACCCTCTAGAGGCCACAATTTTGACCTGATTTTGATGAAACTTGAAATGCAAGTTTATAACCCAAAGATCTCGGTTCCTTTCAATATTCGTGCATATCGGATTGCAACTGCCTGAATTATGGCCTCTGATTGTACGAAAAATCGCGTTTTTAGCTTGTGGTCTCTCTAGAGGTCACAATTATTATCTGATTAAAAAAAAACAACTTTAGAATATATCACCGTTACACCGTAATGTTTGTTGAGTTCAAATTTCAAGAAATTCGGGCCAGAACTGCCGGACAAAATGGACGCCGTCGTACCTGGTAAATCAAGTTTGTGAATCCTCTAGAGGTCACAATTTTGATCCGATTTCGATGATACTTGAAATACATGTTTATAACCCAAAAATATTGGTTCCTTTTGATATTCGTGCATATCCGATCGTAACTTTCTGAATTATGGCCCTTGATTGAACAAAAATTCACGTTTTTAGCTTGTGGTCCCTGTAGAGGTCACAATTTTTATCCGATCTAAAAAAAAAAACGTGTGAATATATCACCATTACACACTAATCGCGGATACCCGAACTTAACTTCCTGGATTATGGCCCCTGATTGTTCGAAAAATCGCATATTTAGTTTGCGGATTCTCTAGAGGTCACAATTTTTTTCCGATTTTAAAAAACGTTTAAATACATCACCATTCACCCATAATGAAGGTTGAATTCGAAATTTTGGAAAATCGAAATGAAACTGCCAAATTGTGTGGAAGTGTGTAATACAAAGGTTGTGGACCCTCTAGAGGTCACAATTTTTATTCGATTTTGATGAAACATAAAACATATCTTTATATCTCAAAGATCTCGGTCCCTTATGATATTTGCACATTTCAGGCCATAACTTTCTGGATTATTGCTCCTGATTTTACAAAAAATTGTGTGTGTTTTTAACTTGTTCTCTATCCATCTCTTGCAAAATGTGTGCGTATCCTGCCTGGCAGCCGCTGGTATTTAATGAGGCAATGCAAAGTCTAAATAAGATATAAAAATATTTAAACTTATTTATACTATTTGCATTTGTTTAATTGCTAAAAACCAGATGATAAATTTGATATGTTTGATTAAGTAGTCTGACATTAATAATCCATGAGTTAAGATGTACATTGACAGTAATAAATGTTTTTTTACTGATATTTAACAATATTATATATATTAATATTTTATTTGTTTTATTTCATAGGATATTATACCATTTGGCAATAATCCTATTTTCCGCTATCTCTGTGGATGGATGGTCCCTCCAAAAATATCATTTTTGAAACTCACTCAAGGAGAAACCATTAAACGCATGTATGAACGCTTCCAAATAATCCAGGATATGTTAGTTCCAATGAAAGATCTGAAAGAATCCCTTGCTGTCTTCCACAAGGAGACAGAGGTAAATATTACATTATAAATTTAATGTGACTGAATGGAGTTCACATCAATACCAGGAAGAAGTTTATCCAACTTCAACATATTCTGATAATTACTTCATGAGTTGTTGCCCATGATGACATTGTAATGTATTTTAAATGTGAAATATAACAAATTTAGATATGCAAAAACCTTTATGGACGACTTGTTTCATTGCTTGGAAATCTATGTTGTACTGTAAGCCAATTAATTTCTTTGAACCTATTTTAAAGTTTCATTTATGAAAAATTTGCGTGGGAAATAGATGATCTAATTACAATTGTATTTCCATTTTCTGAATGTAACATTACAAATTCCAAAACCAATTATTTATTCATTTTGTTAACAATGACTATTTACATTCAAGAGTAATGTTTAAACAATTATTATTACAGGTGTATCCGCTGTGGTTGTGCCCTTTTATGTTGTATAACCAACCGGGTATGGTACATCCAGCTACCGAAAGTGATGCAATGTATGTAGATATTGGTGCTTATGGAACACCCAAGGCAGAAACATATGAAACAGTCTCTACAACCAGGCGATTGGAGGCCTTTGTGCGAAGTGTGAAAGGGTGGGTTTGCCATTATTTCTTAAGAGGTTCAAGAAGGTTATAAGTTGATATAGTTAAAAATCAAATAAATGTTTTTTAGTGCCTTAATTATCCTGACATTATGCCCTTTGAAATCAAAGAAAAGGCAAATTGTTGGCACTTCTAGCACCCAGGTTGGAAGAAACAATGAAAAACAAATTGAACATAGTTATAACAGGACAACCCCTTTCAGTCATACCAGATTTGAAAAAAATAATATTTGCTTTCAAAAAGTGGTACCGAACTGTCAAAATTGCAGTTTTTGCTAAATTTACGTCACTTCCGTTGCCGAAAAGAAAATGTACCGGTAGCAAAATAAATGACATTTTGGACCACGGAGCATATGAACTTTGTTTTATACAAATCGAACAATAAATAATTAATCCAGGACTGAAAAACTGAATTAGCCAATGGGGGCCAAGGAAAAATGCCATTTTTGGTCAAATCAGATGACTCTCTAACACTAGGTAAAATACCACATAAAAATATTCATTAATAAAAAAGTTTTTCGTAAAAATTTAAATTTTCAAAATTTGGCGCCTAATATCTCCGAAGATTCGTCGAAAATAAAAAAATCTAAAGACTTGTAGCTATGTGCCTTGTCTCCAGCTATGTCAAAATGTATCAAATATTACAATCCGACAATTATTGATAACATTACGGCAAAATTTCGAAAAACGACAACTTCGGTGATTTCGGACATTTTACATTGTCGCAGAACGTTAGAAATAGCTTTAAAATCTAAGTCAAACCCGCTTTCCCAGAAAAACCGAAAACATCAAATCGATCCGACAAGTAGTTTCTGAGATATGCTCAAATGGAAAAATAATAATAATAATTTGTTTAAAACAAAGTTCATATGCTCCTTTTTCCAAAATGTCATTTTTTTTTTTACCGATAGAGTTATCCGTTGGCACCGGAGGTGATAAAATTTTAACAAAAACTATAATTTTGACAGTTCGGTACCACTTTTTGAAAGCAAATATTATTTTTTCAAAATTTGATATTAACAAAAGGATGCGCCATGCAAAGGCGCATAAAACATCGGATTCAGTTTTTTTTTAATTTCGATTTCGTTTTCGAGCTATTTCGATTAAAAGGTGAAAAAAGGTGTAAAATTAAGCTATTTATAACCCATTCAGTGTCTTCATATTTTAAAATATTTCTTCGTAACTATCATAAACTCGTAGCAATAATCCATACGAAGAGAATGTATGTGAAAATTAGTCTGTAATATGAGCAGTTGCAGAGAAGAAGGCAATTTTGCATGCGTCCCTTTTCACGTTATTTTGCCTGTAAAGGAGTTAACTATTATTCGACTTTCATGGGTTTTTTTTACTATTTGATGCCTTATGCCAATTTTGACTAGGTCAAACCAACCTAACATTTTCGCTGTCACCGGAAATGACATCATTTGGGCAAAAACTGTATTTTTAGTCTTAAAAAGAGATATTTTATTCAAATGATTATTATTTGTAATGTTTTTAAAATTATGATATTTGATAAAATCAACAAATAGAAAAGACCTATACGATCATACAGATACCACAAAATGGTTTCTAACTTGAACGGTTGCAGAGAAATAGACGATTTTCTACAAGTCAGTTTTCATGGTTTTTGGCCCATAAAAATGTCAATTATTATCAGATTTTCATAAATTGTCGCCATGTGATGCCTTATGCCATTTATGATTTTATAGAACTAATTTAACATTTTCATTATCACCGGAAGTAATGACATTTTGGTAAAATCTGTTTTTTAGCCTTCAAAACTAATATTTTCTTGAAGTGAGTTATATTTATCATTCGTTTAACATTATGATATTTTATTCCAATGGACGTATAGATTGGATCAATAAGATCATATAGATGTCCAAAAATTGCTTCTAGCATCTTCCCTTGTCGAGAAATTTCCATTAGAAAGTCAGCTAACTTAGCGGTAAGTTAGTAACAAATTTTGTCAGGATCACTTTTTTGACATATGTAACACATGTATAAATGGAATTGATATTGCTAGATTTGGTTGTTTCTTCGACCATTTTATAACACGTCTGCAATGCTTATGTGGAAATCTGTTTAACGGTTTCATTGGTAACAGAAGTGGCATAAGTTCAAGGGTAACGAGGCACCAGATGTGACATAAGTTCAGGGGTAACGTTGGACTGTTGAAACCCGTCATTACTGCATCGCAGATCTAGTAATGATTGTTTTTACCAAAAAATCAGTCATCCAACACGTTGGCCGTTTTATTTTCCACTTGAGCATATCTCAGAAACTACTTGTCGGATCGATCTGATATCTTTGGTTATACGGGAAAATTGGCATAGCATAGATATTAAATCTATTTCGAACATTCTGAGACAATGAGAAATGTCCGAAATCCCCGAAGTTGTGGGTTTTTTTTTAAAATATTGCCGTAATATTTACAAAAATCGACGGATTTTAACATTTGATACATTTTGACATAGCCGGAGACAGGGCAAATAGCTACGGTACTTTAGATTTTTGATTTTCGACGAATTTTCGCTGATATTATGCGCAAAAGTTTGAAAATTTAAATTTTTACAAAAAACTTTGTTATTGAGGAATATTTTTAATGGTATTTTACACATGATTAAAGGGTCATCTTACTTGAGCAGTTGTCAGCAGTTGTCGAGAAACAGGCCGTTTTGCATGCGTCATTTTTCACATTATTTTGCCTGTAAAATAGTCAATTATTATTCGATTTTCTATTTCATTTTACTATTTGATGAATAATGCAAAATTTGACTAGATCAAACCAATTTAACATTTTCACTGTCACCGGAAATGACCTCGTTTGGGCAAAAATTGTATTTTATTAAAACGAGTTTTTTGTTTATATGTTTTTAAAATTATGATATTTGATTCCAATGAACAAATAGAATGAACCAATGTGATCATGCAGATACCACAAACTGATTTCTAACTTGTACGGTTGCAGAGAAAAGGATGATTTTCTACTAGTAACTTTTCAAGGTTTTTGGTCTATAAAAGTGGCAAGTATTATTCGATTTTTATAAAATTTTCACCATGTGATGCCATATGACATTTCTGATTTCATAAATCTAATTTTACATTTTCATTCTCACTGGAAGTAATGTCATTTTGGCAAAAAACTGTATTTTCGGCCTTCAAAACAAATATTTTCTTGAAGTGAGTTATATTTAGCATTATGATATTTTATTCCAATGGACATATAGATTGAATCAATTTGATCATATAGATGTCCACAAATTGCTTCTAGCATCTTCCGTTGCCGAGAAATAACCACTTTTGTCAGGATCCTTTTTTTAAAGATTTTTTGCCTTATTAATTTCAGTTTATTGGTTCTAGGTTACTTATTTACTTCCCGATATTTATAATACAAAGTTCATATGTTTCATGGTGCAAATCGCTAACTTTTTTGTTACCGATAATGTTTTTTATGTCGCCACCGGAAGTGACGTAATTTTGCGAAAATTTTCAATTTTGACCGGGATCACTTTTTAACATATGTAACACATGGTAACAGGTAACAAATGTATAAATGGAATTGATGTCCCTGGATTTGGATGATTCTCTGTCTATTTTGTAAAACGTGTGCAATGCTTATGTGAAAACATGTTTAACGGTTTCATTGTTACCGGAAGTGACATAACCCTAACCCTAATTCTTTACTTCACTTTGTCGTATTAGCTGGAACACTCAGAGTTATACAAATTGATTATTATTATTATTAAACGTTAGGACAAATAACGTGGGAAGTCTTCTCTTTAAAGAAAACGTATTGCTTAATGTCACTCCTATTGTACGGTGTATGTGAAGCTTGTAATGTATTACCGACTTCAAATCAATTCTAAAAACAATATTTTTTTTAATTATGACGGACCAATAGGCTTAGATGACTTTAACCATGTTTATATAATATGCAGATTTCGTTCTAAGTATAAGATGTTTAACACATAAGTACAAGTAAGTAAGTAGGCTTATCATCAAATATTGCGATCATTAGAAGTGGAATAATTGCTGATAGTTCATCAAACTGCTTCTACTTTGATACATTAACCAGTGTTTGATTCTACGGGGTGATTGGATAAATTACCCCGATTAAACTCTATATTTATTTATGTAAAGAATAAAACATAAAAACATGCGAGAAAATCAATACAGCTGAGCACATGATAAATTGAAGATTTGGAAAACGTTTCTCACAATCTATTCTCTATCTTTTTTGTAAGTTTATTTTGAGGTTTAAATAAAATATTCACTGATTCAATCAATAGGAAATTTTCCATAATGGCTGAATTAATGCTACATGTGCAAAACAACTGTTTTATTATTGGTTAGAAATGTATTGTTTTCTAGACATCTGTCATACAATAACTTGTTGGATGGTGAAAGAAATGTTGTAGTGTTGCTTGTTTGTCATGTTTTTAAAACATTTGGTGTATTGTTTGATTCTCTAGAAATATGTACAAATAAACAAAATCAATTTCAAGCCATGTCAAATTTATTATTAAATGAATCCACGTCAAATGTTTCTACCAAGATAAAAGTTTGAATATTTTTGATGTGTCGTATTTTAAACTATTTTCGAAGAATTCAAATTTTCACCCAATATTCACCAATTCCAGATAAAAAGGTCCTTGGAGCTACCAACAACAATCCAAATCACACAGTCACGGGTAAAACAAGCTATTGGACGTATTATACATACAGTCTCAGGTTAAAGAAGCAGAGAGAGAGAGAGAAATGGGGTTTAACGTCCACTCGACACAAACTAGGTCATTTTGGGACTAACATATTGTTCAATTTTATTTCTATAATTCGCTTGCCCGTAGGGGTCTTTAGCAGTGCGGGGAAACCGGAGGACCCGGAGAAAGTTAAAGAAGCAATCCAATGTATTATAATAATATACAGTATAATGATCTATACTAAAGGATAAGAGGGCAGAATTCACATAGGTTGATCTTTAAATACCTA